ATTCTAGTTCTTCCCTGCCACAAGCGGCCCAGATGACCTCGGGCAAGACATTTCCTTCTTTCTGAGCCTTAATTCTCTTCTTTTTTTCTAGTTCAGAGAGGATTTGTGAGGCTAAATATATTAAAAATTCTGAAGGGCTCAGCTTACAGTCATGGCAGCCAGGGCAAAATCTCAGAGAGACAGAGTGTACTAGCGATAAACTTTTCTTCTCAAACAGCAAGACGACCTTGACATTGTGGAAATAAATCATCCACTTCCACATCAGTAAGAGCAGAAAGTATATCTGCACGTCAGAAACAGCTGCAAAAGAATCGTTCAGATTCCTTTACCAGCATGACATTTAACTCCTTCCCTCTCAGCAGGTAGGGAGGGAAGGAGTTTTGATATCACAGTGTTCCTCATTAGCCAAACTAGTTAGGTCTTTCAAAATCCATGTCTAGACAGGAGATTTGAATTTCTGTCTTAAGAGGGCTTGGCAGTGTTTTACCAAACACAAATTTGTTTTGAATAATCATATTTGAAAATAATGCATGTGACAGCAGAACAGTTAGGATCAGGTAAACAAGAGGCCCGGTTGCACTCTCCTTCAGCTTCTTCACAAAATTAAGTTGAACATCTCCAAGATTTCAAAACAGTACAGCAGTTTTATGCTGATTTTTGTAATTCCATAGTCTCTCCCTTTTGTGCCATTCTTCAGTCTATCCTGGAAGATGTTGGTTTAGACTTAAGCTTTAATTACTACTTCTCTTCTGCATGCACTGAACTATTGCCAGGTTGCTTATGAAAGATGAGGTGCTATTGTGCTTCAGCATTTGCTCTGTGTGTGTGAGAGGGAACCTACTGACTATGAGCAGATAATCATACATAACCTCCACAAGCAGAGTTCATATCACATAATGAAAATATTGTCTTGTTTGAGGTTGGGGAAACTGAGGCACAGTGAAATGAACTGATCTGACCAACACCACAAGGCCAGTGAAAGCGATGGAAACATCCAGCAAGTCTCTTGTCCAGTGGCTTCTTTGCCAGGGAATAAAAGGTGGAGTGCAGGACACATGTTGAAGCTCTTCTGTCCGAAGTGGAAAGCGCTTGACTATGAGGGCAGTAACAAGCTACTTCTGTAATTTTTTCTATAACTCGACTCTGTGCATGTGTCTGCTACTCTGCATTATAAAGGATAAAGTTTTTCAAAGTATAAAGAGAAAAAGTGACTTTGCTTCTCAGACTTATTTTCTACACTGAACAACCAAAACAAAAAAGCAGGTTTTTTTGAACATCACAGAGAAACTGATGTATTTACATAGATACTGCACTATATAACATCAGATCCCTTCAACAGAATTTAGAAAAATCAATAGAACTGGTGCAGAAGATGTGAAAAATATCTGGACAGAGAGCATGGATTGGCTTTTTGCTTCCTTAAAAAAGATAAGAATGTATTGGAATAAAAGCAAAGTATTAACATATTAATGAGAGGGAAACTTTCCTGTTGGTGACTCACACAGTGAAATTCTAGCTATCCTGAAGTCAGCATTAACAAATTTTACAGCCTTTTTCTCCAAAATGGATTCTGTTAGAAGACAAGTTTATTCAGAGATTCAGTAGTTTCTTGTAAAAGAGATAAGAAAGTGATAAGAATGTATTATGTTGAGTTTTGTGGTTATTGGACTTTACTTTTGTTTATTGAATTAATCAGCATCACATAGGGATACCTAATGTAATGTTCCAAGCTTCTGTACTTTTTGTTCTAGTTGATTGCTGTTAACAATATGAATTATCTTTTACCAGCAAGAGTCAATTTAACTCAGTTCCAAACCTTTTAACTCATAACAGATGGATCAGAAAGTCAGGGTTAGAAAAGCAGCTAAAATATGACAGCATGACGCAAAACTTTTATTAGCACAAGACTGTTTCTGGGTTACTCACTGCATGCTCAGGTTTTCTGAATATCAAACTGACTAAAAATTCTTGTATTCATTTAGAGAATCAAAATCCGTTAAACTAAAAGAGCATGGTTCATTTATATCAGCCTTCATAGAGATGAGAATATATAAAAATCTCTAAAAATAGCATAATCTAAAATGGTACTTGCAATTTCAGATATCTCAGTACTTTCACATGACCAAATGTGAGTGCTGGAAATGGGAACGGTCCTGTACTTCCTGGCAGTCTCCCCCTTCCAGCCCTCAGCCTGGACTTGCCTCTCCACGAACCCTGCCAAGGCAGGGTGAACAGAAGGAGCCTGAGGACCTGCACGCTACCCACTCAGGAAAGTAGGAAGAGTTACCTTCTGGTTATTTCTTTACACAGTGGCTCTTTGAGTGGGTTTGCAGTTTGGGACGTCAGCAAAGATTTCCAGGAGGAACACAGTGGCAGGCAGCTGCTGTGGCCACAAGTGCTCGATAAAGTAATTTATCACATCTCTCTAACTTGCACTACGCAGAATCACCACCAAAGGAAAACAGTGCATGCAAAGAGAAAGCAAAGTTTGACGGGAAATAAAGTTTACCGAGTTTCTAATATTCTCTTGATGGGATGATACAAGAGTCAATTATTGTTACAGTGGCCTCTTCCCAAGAAGACACAGGGAGTTTGTTTCTGAGACTAATGCATTACAGTGTCTTTTCAGTATGGGAGGACACTTCATTTGCAGATGAGAACATCTGCGGAGCTGAATGTCAGGGATGGCACATGCTGGAAAGTACAATTTGCCTTGAAAAGACCCCTGGGCATGGTTCAGTACAATCACAGAAGGAGGACAAGATTTCCTATATCTGCTCTCTGTAGCCCATGACTTAAACCCCCTCTCTCGTCACAAGGAGCCAGCTACTTTTAAAAAATAGTCGGTATTATGGAGCAGGCCTGTGTTGTTAGCATAGTAAATAAATTATTTTCTGCCAAGCAATTAGCGTGTCTGCCTGATACTCAGCTCATGCAGATATGTCAGCTGTGCCACTGATCTGCAGATTGGGTGGAACCTCGATGATTACAGATGATTACAATGATCAGTTGCAGATAATTATGGAACAGCAGGCCAAATTCCTCTCAGCAGTTGGCCCACTTAACCCTGATGGTGTTACACTGGCATTTGAGCGTGAAACAAAGCTTCAGCATCTGCATACTGCAGTCTGTCTGTGAGTAAACACAGCTTTATAGGTCAGGAGTTCATCAATTACAGCATTAACCACATCTTAATACCTGAGATACCGTCTCATGGACCCATGCTTATGGATATGGCCCTATTATTAGGGATAGAGCCAATCTTCCACGTTCAAAAGGCTTCCCACAAGAAAGAGCATCATTACAAAAATAGAGCAGCCTGAGTTTAAGAGAAAGTTGAAACTTAAAGCAGTGTATTTCATCATTTGCAGCTGCTGCTGTAACAATTAATTGCTTGCTCATAACCAGATCATAGGTGTTCTCCCAGCCACACTTCATCCCACCTCCCACGCCAAGGCTGCTCCAGAGGCTTGATTTCCAGCCGCTGGGCTGTCTGCAGTCGCAGGGAGAGCTCTTGGCTGTTCCTGAGGCATGTGCCACTCAAGCAACTAATAAATTGCTTAGGGAGAAGGCAGGGGAGCCAACTGGATCTGACCCATGAACTGGCAATTAGACTACACTGGGTTGATGCATGACTTGAGACAGGCTACTCTGGATTTACCCTTCTAAGGGATAAGTTACGTGGAGAATAAAAGCATTCAGCTATAGCACAAGCAATGCTACAGCTTGTTGTAGGGATGTTGTTATCTCCTGAGGACTTAGGCTAGTCTCCAGCTAGTAAAGGTCAGAGACTGGGAGAATGAGTGTATCAAGTGCAGTTGTTTTAACACTCTCAATGCCAGAAGCAGCCTAGCAGCCTGATGATCTGCTCCAAATGGTTAATTCTCACAGAAGAGAGCACAAGTCTTAAAAGCACAGAAACCAGAGAGTAGCCTGAACATGCAGTGATGAAAGGAAGGGGAATTTCATAAGGGGCTCAAAGGTCTGCTTTCCAAAGGTGTTGGCCATCTGCAAAATCGACCTGTTAAGCTGAGTGATGATTTTTCAGTGTCTGAGGTCTAGGAAATGAAAGAATGGAAGTTAACAGCAGTTGCTGAGTGCTCTGTGTTTTGGTTTGGTTGATTTTTAAACTCACTCCATTCACTGAGGAACCAGACTCTCGGACTTTCCCACCCCTGGGAGACATGTAGCAGCAGCTGGGAGATGCAGTGCAGAAAGGCTTCTGGCACTGTCACAGCCATATCAACCAAATGGTACCCAACACCCTTCCTCACTACTTGCAGCAGTGGTACCTATGTAGCAGATGAATCACACAAACAGGACCCCACCTCCAAATTAGCCCTGAAGAAAGCTTTGCAATTATTTAGGAAAGACTACGATCAACAGTATTTAGTTGTAGGAGTGTATTTTCTTTGCCTGCATTAGAGTGTGGTATTAAATAATGTGCTGTGATAAACTACCGACTGTATATACAGTCATGACTTCCTGTCTGTGAAACAGTGGAGCCAGAAGAACACAGGTCTTCTGATACCGCTGATGTCAGTAACAGTGGTACTGATGATCTGACAGAAAAACTGGTAATAATAATTTACTGCTGCTTGTCATCAGCACCACAGTCAATTTGTCAGCGTTACAGGTGTTGGTTGTTCTTTAACTCAACAGAAGAATGTAATGAGAATTTCTTAAACATAAAAGGGTTCAAATGAAGGAAATCTCTTAAAAAACATTTACAGTTCCTCCTTAGAAGCTTGAAAATGAAATGTTTTTACCCCAAAACATGGGCTCTTACTCACACACATAATAAAATTACTCATGAGTGCTGATCTTTGGGCAAAAGTTTTGACTTTTTATTATAAAAACAATGAACATTTGAAATACTGTCACATGTTGAAATAAAATTTAATTGCACAGACATCAAAAAGTTTTCAAGCAGATATAGAGAAAAAAAAGCGGAAGCAATCTGGAGTCTACCAATTCCTTTTTTTTTCTTTTTTTTTTTGGATGACAGAGGTTATCTTCAATGCTAAACAAAGACCTTGGGCAACATCCTGGCCCCAATGAGGTCAATGAATGTTTTCCATTGGCTTCAGAGATAGCAGAACTTTACTCATTACCCACATACTCATTAACACATCTTCTAAATCCTTGAACTTGCTGTACTTGTTTCTCCAGTGAGGCTATGTATTTTCTTGTTATGCATCTGCTCCAAACCAGTTACTTTCCAGATAAAAGCTCTTTGGTTTATTCAGTCCATTCATAAACTGCCTATATTTCCCCTACACTGAGACACAAACACCAAGACTTGCAGATTCTAGACACTTGGTGGGCTGCTAAGTGGCATCAGTTAAGATTACCCCTTACCTGTCTGTCTAAAACAATCCTGCTGTGCTAAATTTCAGGGCATACTGTACAGTCAGCTACCCCAAAAATCACAGTACAAGAGAACTGCCCTTTAACATATAGTAGCTAAACTCCAAACACAAATACATTGCTGCAACTAATTGCCCCTCTGAAGGATACAGCTGCTTTGACAGCTGTGCAACAGATGAAAGCAATCAGGTAAAAGTGTTGAGCTGCAGGTAAACCTCAGACAAGCCAGCATTGGGGACTGGGTGACTGTGATGGCAGAAGCATAGAGCTCTCCTCTGGCTCAATGACACAAACAGGAGTGCTGCTGTAGGGCTTTAAAGCCATTATCATCCCTGGTTACTCAGTGTCCTGTGTGAAATGAGTTTCATAGCATCAGCCCAATGCTTACAAACTGAACGTGCGTACGTTTAACATGCATTAATAACGTAATCTTCCCACGCAGTCTCCAAAGGCACAAAGTCAAATGCAGATGGAGATTTGACAATCACTATCTCATCCTTCAAGGCAGCACTTCTAGGAGGGGTCAGGTGGAGGCACAGTCTCAGGACCATCTGAAGAAATCCCACAGCTACCACCAAAGCTGCTGCTCCTCTAGGGATAAAGGGCTTCAGCTTGGTGTTATTTATAAACCACAATATTCAGCTGTAACACATTCCCTCCTCCATATTACAAACCCTCTGACAATGAGAAATACACACTCTTCAGTAAATATTAAAATGGCATTTCAAAAAATTTCATTCACAAATGTAGTTTATATTAGAATAATTAAGTTACAAAATGATAAAAACTTCCAAACATCAGATTAAGAAAAGTTATTTCAAAAAGTTACTTCAGTCTACTATAAGTACAAATGCAACATGCTTTGGACATACAGACTTTAAAATTTAGCCCACCATGAAATCTGAGGAGAAAAAAAAGGGTTTAGACCATCTTTCCAAATAAGTTTAAAACCTCCTTTAGAAATTTCCCCTTGTGGAGCCAGGTACTCTGACATGGTGTGAAAATTATAACTATGTCAAGGTATAATGCAAAAAGCTGACTGTATCAACCAACAAGGATTTAAAAGATTCAGGAGGTTTGAGAACAATCCATTTTATTCTCCCTTTGTCTCTGAACAGTGCTTCCTTCTGTACATTACTAGTCTGTTGATGAGCATCTCTGCAAAAATGCCAGAAGAAACCAGACTAGCTGGTGGACCCTCCATGAAAATTAAGTACAATCACGGTCAGGTATATCCTGACCATTTCTACAATGGCATATAACATTACAAGTTGACAAACAACATGACAGTGAAAAACTGAAAGAACTTAATGCAACCAGTCAAAATCCATTCAACAGCTTTTAATCAAGGGCAGCAGTTTGTAATGAACAGCCACACTGTTTCAACGCCACCTCCTGTGCACAGCGCGCTCATTCTCTCTGTTCTCTCACACACTCACGCTCTCTGGCTCACTGCTCCTCTTCTCTTCCTCCCGCTGGGAGGTCTCCTAGAGCCTCTCTTTACTTTGGGGTCAGCGCAGCATTGCAGAAAGCAGAATCCTTGCAGCTCATCGGCATGCCTGCCCCATTGGGTTGTCACTCTGGCAGCTGCACAGCTCCCTCAAGTCTCTTTCTTCATTTTCTTCCTCTTCCTCCTCTCCCTTTTCCCAGGTATGTCTGTCATACAAACAACAGGGGCCAGTGCACAAACCTTCCACGTGCAATCATGTCCCTGGGAACTGCTGGCTTTCTGCCTGAAGAAGGGTATTTTGGGGTTCTTAGATGTGTTTTACAAGGGCCACCTACTTAACAAGGATAATCCAAAATCATGGGGAGGGCTTTGAGTATTTTTAGTGGGCTCTGACTCACACATACATTTGCTTCCTTTTCAAATTTAAGAGTACTGTGCAAAAATTACTCCCACTAAATGGAATAGCAGTTTTGCTCATTAAGTCTGGCAGGAGCAGGTACAGGTATTTGTCACAGAAAGAAATATAACAGAGCCTCTCTAAGAATTAACACATACAGCTAAAGGAGAAGCATTCGCATATTCACTTAACGCATCTGTGAACACTTCTCAGATTGAGCATTATTCTGAAACCAAAATTCATCAGATGTGTAAAAACAATCACTTACCGTTATTGGGTGAATTATTAGCAACGTCCAAGGATTTTTTTAAGGAAGCACAGACTGCATCACTGCTATGTTTTGTAGATATCAAGTCCCTTGGGCCTTCTTCAATTCTTGTTTCCAAACCTTGCTGGGGCTTAATTGAAACAATATGCTTCACTAAGCATATGAGTTAAACGAAGCATATGCGAGTACAAAATATGAGAGAAAATGTCATTATTGGGGGGAATTAGGGTATTTAAAGAAACTGCAGGACAATTAGGTTTTAAATTATTAGAATATTCTGGCACATCATCTACCTACCTGCTGTTTATTTGTTTTAGAAGGGATTAAAGTGTTGAAATTGTCTTTCATTACCATCTTTCCCCTTGTTTCCCTCAGTGAATAGAAAAACAGCAGGATATATTGAGGTGAAAATACTGTAATTGTATAGTGAGACTGAAGACTAAGATGTACCCACTGACAGCTAAATGACCACAGTCCACAGAAATACTAGAGGCAGCACAGGGAGTGTGATGAGCACCTTTGTATATCTAGCTTCATAAGTAATTTAATTTTTTAATGTCCATCTCAGAAGGATGAGCTTGCACAGCAGCAGACACCAACATTTGGGGCTGATGTGCAACATGAGCTCCTCCTCGCCCATCATAAACATGCCAGAAAAAACAATGCTGTGCTGAGGAGTCTGAACAGCACTATTAAGATTATTCATTAAGGACAAAGCTAAAGAAACTAATTGCTTTAGCAACTAAAACTAAAAACTGGACATGCAAGAGAGAGAGTGACCTGGCAGCACTCTGGTAACTGATGGGCTGTCCTAATGACCATGTGGATTGTGGTCAGTTAGTTAAAAGCTTCTCCCTTAAAATGGGAACATCATGAGTCCAGGGAGCGAAATTGTCCAAAGGATCAAGAGAGACCACAGTGGGTGTGAGAGGAAAACAAATGATACTACACAGCTGTACGAGTCCAAAGCAACATATTCAATGACAAGTGAATGAAAAATAATTAGGACATTTTGGTGGTCCCACCCCTCCACCATTTCTCATTTCACTAAGCAGCAAAGACATCACAGCCAAGGACTCGATCCAAAACCCAGTCAACACTGTTCCTTTGTACTTCCCACCCCAAATGAGCTGACATTTTCTGCAGCCTTTCTCTGTTGCACTCAGGCATTTTACTCTCAATAAGCTTTTCACTGCTATAACATTAGTCTACCTTTATCTTCACTGGCTTTTGGGAACCATTCATTGTTAATATCTCCAGGTGACCTTCTGCCATAGATAAAACACAGACCAGTCGTACACTGAACTTGGAGTGCATTTGCCTGAGAAAGCATTTTTTCTTCCATGATTAAAGTCATCTGCTCCTCTCTGCACTGCAAAACCAAACTGTTTTGTAAATATGTTAGGGAACACCATGTTGCAAAAACTCACTGGTCACTGTGTTCACCCTTCTTTTATGGGAGGGCAGGGAGAAAAGAGAAGAGGAAGCCAGATGATGGAGAGGAAGAAAAGGCCCCCTTAGGTTACATCATCTTAATGGAGAAGACATCCCTCTCTGCTCTTGGAAAACCAGACGCTACCCTGGGAATATAAAATACTCACATGCCACAGTCCAGCTCCACCCCTTGCTTCCTTCACTTCAGTTTTCTTCTTCTTCCGTTGTGTTTTGCTTTCCAGTCCAGAAAGGCAGAAATGAATGCCTGCTTTGCCTTTTGGTAATTCCTGAAAGCATCAGATATTTTATAAGAAGAGGCCTAAGATGGCTGATTTTTTTTTTTTTCCCAGAAAAAATTATTAGCTCCAGGAGTGTGTGCTGACAGTGTACAAGCAGGGTATGGGTAAGGTACACACCTCAGCTTAAGGCAGCTGTTTGCAAAAAGCTCAGCATGCTCTTTGCACTGCTGCCAAAGGATATTCTCCTGGGCTTCTAGAAAGCATTTAAACAGCAAACCTTCTGCTTCTACCTCTCCACCCAAGCTATGACGGTATCACTATCAGCAAACCCTTTTAAATAAATATGTCCCAGCTGCCTGGGATGCTGTGAAGGCTGCTGTCAGCTGTGGACTCTACACCTCTTTTAAGCCACAGGTATTCAGGAAGGTCAGCAGCAGTAGAAAGAGTGCATTCACATGAGATGGCAAACACCTGATACCTGCTGCTCAGGACAGCAATGCCATCCAGATGATGAACCCCCAGAACCAGCCAAGTCCCAACTCATCTCACACATCCTGCGAGTGTGTCGTCCAGCTCCAGCTATCTGAGACATGTCAGGGGAGTGACCATGCCAAGCCCCTCATCCCAGCATGAGAAAGCTCTCCCAACCAGACAAGCCCAGCTCTAGGGGTGGACTCAACACCCCGGTCTGGTTGAGACTGACCCCAGTGGAGCAGGTCTCTCCTGGTCATCAGTGCCACTGCCTCACCTTCTCCTTCTTGTCCTCTGTCTGATGCTCCTCATCTCCTGTCCAGTTTCCCCACTCTTCCATGGGAGCCTTCCAGTCAGAGTCTAGGTCAATTGCTGAAGGATCTTCTATTAGGATGACATATGAATGAGTTATGTTCAAATCCATACTACTGCCCAGGCTCACACTAGTAACACAAATGCTGCAAAGAATATCTGTCATCTTTCTGCTTGCCAGTGGGATGTCTGGATGTGCATGTATGCACATGTGTCTTCAATGTATTAAAAAATTATACATTGACTGCTAATTCACAATTAGTGACTGCACTCTTCAGGATAGGAGGAAAATTAAGAGCAGAAAAACGCACACAGGAACAAAACCCCTTCCATCCCTTCCAGCCTATGCTTCAAGAAAATAAGCTTTATAAAACTAATAGCATGACTTGTCAAACATTTTATTTTAATTTTATGGAGAAAGATTCAGGCATATCCAGAAACATTGGCAGACTCAGCAGGCTCTTCCACTCACTGCAACATACCATCCTCAGGGCAATTATTTATATGGAAGAGTAACATTAGCAAAGTATTTGTGCATTTGTTAATGCTCATTGGTGTTTTCTTTCCTATAAAAAATTAGAATCAAGTGCATTCTTGACTTCATCTTCCTTTTCCATTTTCTTTTCTTGAATATAAGTCAGAAAGTCACCATCACAGCATATATTTCCAAAGCTCCCTAACATGCAACTCTAAATATGCATGAAATAGATAACACCTAGCCTGCATCAATTCTGATCATTTTGTGGGGGCTAGGCAAAAAACTTTTGAAAATCTTTTAGATTTCTGTAGCTGACAGCATCTGGTATCTTTGAAAATCTGGCCACAAGCCCTCAGTTGCCTCTCCACAAAGCACTGGCAAATGATCCTCAGGCAATAAGGCAAAACAGACCAGTCCAATTCCTTTGCTCAAACTGAATGAGGTGCAAAAACACAGATAAATCAGCATAAGATGTTGAAAGGACCATTTGATTATTTTTTAGTGGTTTGAATGTAGCAATCTTAAATGTTATCCTAACAGGGAGAAAGACTTTGCAAACACAACATATAATAATAACTCTTAGCTGATCACGTCTCTTAAAATAAGAACAAATACAAAAAGTCCGAAGCTAGATGGATAAACTTCTAGTTGAAGCAGGGCCAAAACCAAAAGCATTCTGGGGATGATAAAAGAAAACTGTTTCCAAAAAGTTGCTCTGTCAAGTTCGTTGCCAAATGTTATAAACATGATTATAAACATCGTTCAAGTTTCTCAGTTTAAAATCCCTGTCCTGTACATAGACAGTATTTCTTTCCTTCTTCAAAAGGGATAGGAACAAGTATTTTTGCATGCAATCTCCGATAAAATTATAGTCTAAGTATTTTAGGCAAATGAATGCGTCTATATTTGAGAGATGCACAATACACGTGAATGAGTCAAATGTCTGAAGAATAGTTTGTGTAAAATGTATCATGGGATAACATCACCAAAAAGCTTCTGCTGCTTCTCCCATTTATCTGAGGGTCTGGCTCACAAATTCTGGAGAATTTAGCTGTCGTGGCTGAAGACAATACCAACCTGCACTCCCCACCCCATAACTATGCCACAAGATCCATCAGGGTGAGGACACAGCAAATCCCAGCTCCTCAGCCTGTGCAGTGCACACTCTGCCTCTGCACCAATATACTACAAGTGTGCCATGGCAGCAAAAAATAAAGGCAAAACCATGCTGCTACTGCTAAAGAGGACGCAAATTCTGGCTACCAGGAAGGTACCTGGCATGACACAGGGACTGGTGAAATGGCACCAAGACTTCAGGAATGGCAGTCCCTCCTGAGCTGCACGGCAGCAGCTCTGCCACAAAACGGACTGTCACTTAAGGAAGACACACTGGAAACCATGACTGTCATTTTCACTTAACTTCTGATCTCTCAAAAAAAATATTTATGTATTTATTTTTAAGCATGAAAATAGTTTTAATGGCCAACTTCCTTCAATGGGCTTACATTCATGCTTCTCTGTCCTCGTCATGCAGGTAGGCATGAAGCTCGGCCAGGCAGCAGTGACTCTGCCTTGTCTCAGAATTAGTCTTCCCAAAGCACTATGTCCCAGAGGTGTTTAAAATCAACTCAGAGTAAAATTAAGTGCAATATAAGAATCTTTACAATTTGTTGGATTTGATGGGAAAATTGGATTAAATGTACTTATCCTAGAGGTCTGGTTTACAACCTCTCCTGTTGTGTAGCATATTTCCCTTCTACAGTGACATCTCCTGGAATGGTTTTAAACTTTGAATATTGTCTAATATTTTAAAATCAGCAACCAGTTATACTCGGGTCATAAATTCTTTCACAGGCTAAAACTGGTCAGTAATTCCTTCAGTAAGAGAAAATCATGAACACAAAAAGGAATGTGCTGTGCAGCAGCAAGTACTCCTGCTCCCCTGATGGCTCTGGCACTAATGGAGATGATGTCTCCCAGCACATCTATAAACCAACTTCTCGGTAATTCCTGCTGTTCATTTTTACAAAAGTGGTACTGTTAAATTCGATTTTTCAACTAGGTTCTTGCTTGCAACCCACCTCTGTCCCCCAACAGCTCCACACAGACCAAGCTGTATTTTTCTGTTCCCTGCTGGCGGCAAACATGTCCCATTTGCAGCACACATTTCAGGGCCAAGGTGATTTCCACATACCCCACGTAATTAAGACACTTCTAAGATCCTGAAGGGCACTACATTGAAGGTGTCTTCAGAAATCGGGGAGGCTGCCAGCACTTCTGCAGGCAGAAAGTCCATCCCAGTGCCAACCACCCAAATGCCCTTGGTCTCCAGCTGCCTGGGCAATGCCAAGGAGCAGCTGGCTGCACCCTGAGAGGTGTTGGGGAGCAGGCAAACAGGGCCCCACAGCAGCAGGATCTGGTCAGAGGAGGCAGTCAATGGGTTCTCTATGCCAGCTGACAGACAAGGTAGAGTACTCTACAGGCTCAACCTAATTATCCGGCCTAGAAAACAAAACTGGAAACTACTGCAGCAAAACTGTGTCACCAAGATGGGGATTAAAAGTAGGTTCAGATCCTATACTATCAGCATCCCTCTTTGGCACGATCTCCCCCAATATGGTCAGCAGAAACCGAAAGGAAAGCAACCCTTCATCTGGCAGCACAAAATCGTCAGTGGAGTCCATACCGTCTATGGCACTAAGTCCTTCTGTGGCTGCTGTAGAAATCCCATCCCTTTGCAAAGGGCAGTTGGCTGTAATGAGCACGGTTCTAGCACAGACCTTTGCTGAGCCCTCACTTGTAGCCCAAGTGAAATCCATTCAGCGCAAATAGATAGACAATTTCCAGTCTTGTATTTACGTATTACCGGTCAAAATTTCTACTACCAACAGCTGGATGTGGGAGGCCCTCATTTGGCACTTTCCTCCAGCATAATTCAGTAGATGCAAAAATATCAAATAAATCCCAGACTGAAGATTTCTTTTAATTGAAAGAAGTCGCTTATTCCCATGAAACAAAGGAATTAAAATTCATTTTAACCCCAGGACAGAAGGAAGGATAGGAGACGGGAGACATGGGAGCTTTCTGAAGGTTTCAGGGAAAATCTCCTTGGCAGTCAAGAAGGATTCATTGGGAAGATGCCAAGTCACAGGTAAAAGGACAGCCCTTATGGTCATAAGATGCACTGCATTTGTGAATGTGCATCTTACGAGACTGCCCTGCACTGTTGCCAAAGCACAGGTCCACTGCACTCAGAAGCAGACGTACAGGACAAAATTAGTATTTGCTGGCCTTGGAACCAGACACAAGTGCTCTACAACAGCCCAGTCAGCCACACTGCGCAGGTCACACACTTTGTAACAGCAAAACCAGCCACAGACTATAATGCGTTTTGTGAGGCAGCTAAGCATAAGTACATAAATGTCACCAAAGGGGCAGCAGCAGCCGTGTGGTATAGGTGCACAAAGGCAGTTATTGGGAAACACCTGCAAGCAGTAAATCTGTTGAAGTGGAGCACAGGAGGCAGAGCAGGAGGAGCCAGAACAACCTTGCAGAACAAGCAAGAAAGGTGCCTGGTGAAACCAGAGCAGCTCCCAGGCTCTAAAATAAAATGAATTATGCCAGGAGCAGAAGAGATTCACCCCTCTTTATTTTCTCTTTGTGGCAGGGATGAAAAGTATGCAAACACTAATGATGAGCAGGGAAAAATGAAGATGAAACAAGTTCCTCACTTTGGGGCCTCTTTCTCTCATGGAAGAGTCCTGGCCACCTCAATCTCCTGGTGGGACTGCAGGAACTGCAGCCATCAGTGCTAACCATGCGGCTTCAGCTCCAAGACACTGAATAGCCCTAGCTAATGAAGGATTAGATTGCTAAGGACTGATTGTTTGAATATGCAGAGACAATGGCTGATGACAGAGTCATGATCCTGTAATGAGGATTACGGAATTGCTGAGGTTGGAAGGAGCCTCTGGAGATTGTCTAGTCCCACCCTGCTGCTCACAGCAGGCTCAGCTACAGCAGGTTGCTCAGGGATGTAGCCATCTGGATTTTGAGTATCTCCAAGGGTGGAGACTTTGAAACCTCTCTGAGCAACCTGTCCTGCTGCCTGACCAGCCTCACCATTAGAAAAAGCTTTGTCCTACGTATACATGGAATTTCCCATACTTCACTTCTTACCCACTGCCTCCTGCCCACACTCTCTGGGCAGACCAGTGGCAACCACCCCATCAGGGGTTCATACACATGATGGACTCTCCTGGACCCACTCCAGTAAGTCCCTGACCATCTTGTACTGGGGAGCCCAGAACTGGGCATACATTCCTGATCTAACAATGATTCAGACTGACCATTGTCAATTATGAATGTCAACCTAACAGTGTGTTGTTTTGAAACCAGCCCAAGTTATCAGTCTTTTAAACACTCCCATATCACAGTGACCACTCATTTCCCTTACTAACACCCTCCCTCCTTCTATGTATATAAGCTTTCAGCTGTGACACTTAAGCCTCAAATCTTTTGTGAGTTAGGCTGTTGTTATTACTACTGGTACTTCACAAAAACATAACCCAGTGCAGAGTAGGGAGCTGGCCAAGGCTGCTCCGTGAGCCGGGGCAGAAGCAGGAGTCCAGCATCCAGCTCCTTCTTCTGCACCAGCCTGTCATGGAACAAAGAGACTCATTAAATCTACTGATCTGGGTTTGATAAAATGACCCCAGCTCATATTCAGGTTATGAATGGCATTTTTTTAGTTCACAGGCCTGCAAGAGCTAACAGGCCTTGTTTAACTGTCAAAGAGCTCATTTTGCCTGCAGCGCAGACCTTAATGCCAACCATTACCTCATCTAAATTCAGGGAATACGTGTTCGTGACACTCCCCTCTGCATCAATATCAAGGCTGATGATTCAAAGCAAAAAAATTACTACTACTAAGAAACTGTAAGGCAGGCAGAAATCCTTCCACTTCTGCTTTCGATCAAAATGCTTTTGCTCCTATGTTTGCAAGAGCAAGCTGCTGAATTTGCCCCTATCTGTTCTGCTCTCAGACAGACATGATACCGAGAAAGTGGAGCTCTGCCTGTCTTCGCAACTGCAGATCAAATCCAGAGTGTGCCAAGTGTGACATGTGCTAAATGCAATGCAAGGAAACGCTGCTGAAGAGCTACCTACATTGCCTCCCTCTTTCCCACACAGGCAAGCCTGGGCTCAGAAGTTACAAAGGGCCGGGCGCTCACCAGCAGCAACGTGGGGGTAAACAAACACAGCGCTAAGGGAAGGGAATGCTTGGTGTTGGAGTTTTTTGTGTGGTTTTTGTGTTTTTTTTTTTAAAGCAAACCGTTCTATTTATAAATTCCTGTGTTGGCCAAACTGGTGTGTCTGCTGCAGAGTCTCAGTTACTGCTGGGCAGAGAAGCAAGATGACCACAGTCTTTTCTCCTCAATGTGTTCAGCCACTCTGGGTCCTCCTATAGGTAAGGCAATCAGAGCAGCCAGAGCAAGAAGGGGTCTGGCTTGGCTTGTCAGCCATCATTCCTGCAAGAGCAGGGTAAGGACTCTCAACAGGAGTATAAATAGATATGTCACTCAATCCTGACCAAAAGGTCAAGAGAAAAGGCCATCCAATACCCACCACTGTTCATGCCAAATTATTCCAGCCACTCAGGACTCATGCTGGCCTTTCAAACAGATTCTAAAAGGAAGAAAAATACCCAACACATTACCAGTCATAAAAAGACTGAAATCCTGATTGCCAGTCCACTGCAGTAGGATCCTGCATCTGGGTTCTGGGTATTACAGATGAAATTTTAAGTTTTGGCAAAGGTACCTCATGCTCTCACAGCGCCCTGTTCTCCCAGTGGCTTTGCCCAGCCACCCCACTGAGCCCAGGCTGGGGGCTGCCTGGAAAGGGACCACTCAGCTCCACCTTCCCCACCCAGTGATGGGAGGGAGGGAAACACGATGCTTCAGTTATGAAAACCAAACCCAACTCTGAATTCATTTCACAAATTCAGTAATCTGAGATGATTGCTAACACGTGGGGCTTTGTTGAAGCACAGCGCCCATACTGTTGCTTCTGGCTCAGGAAGTCCCTGACCACTCTCTGCTGGGTGTGGGGAGGGATCGCCCTGTGCTTGCCCTGTTCCTGTGCTTATCCACCAGCAGCTGCTATGTGCAACTGTTGGACAGAGGACACTGGGCTACAGGAGCCTTCAGACAGCCTCCCTACAGCTCATCTGGCTGCCCTGAAGCTCTAATTACACTTTGCACAGCAGTATGCACCGAACAAGACTGTACCTACTGCATCCCTTTTTTGTCACCTTATAAGTAAAAACAGAAATAAAATGCACATTCTTGCCCTTCTCAAGGGTCCCACACAGGGTGCCTACTGCTCTGACCAGGCTCACAGCAGCTTTGGGCACCTGCCCAAAACCAGACTCAGACTGAATTTCTCCCTTACCTCTACTAGCCTTGTGCTAATGAACCACATGGGAAGTTGAGCCTCATTTTTGAGGCTTAGGAAACAGACTGAAAAGAATATCAGCATTAGTGCACTTGTCTTTCAATAGGAAAAGAGCAAAGAGGTGTACCCTGCCCCTGCCATGCGTCATCTGCAGGGAGGAAAGTCGAGCTGGTGTGCCAACAGCATCTGGAAGGACTGTCCTCAGAGGATTTACTCTTCACGTTATCTGCATACAGGAAAGTGTCTTTTTAAAAAGTAAAACCAAACAAAAACCCCAAACCTAAAAGGTAATCACATAGGTATATTCATATTATTAAAACCAATTAACTGTGCCTTTATCTGTTCACAATGTCATGATACCTATGTAATTTAAACCACATTAATCTGTGCTGATCAGCACAATGGATTTATTAATGAAAGCTGGACGATGACACTACATGCATAAGTTATTAAAAGCAACCCACTCAGGAGTGGCTACACTGACAATATTCGGAGATGTAAACTGCTGACGCATCTCTGTTTGGAAAGTAAGAAGGGAGCTATAGTTCCTGCAGAACAAAAGCTGTATCCAATATATCCAGCTCCAACCCACATCACCTTTCGTGAGAAGGCTTCTGCTCATTCTAACAGAAATCCATAATTACCAAATGAATTACTCCAAGAAAGAGCACAGATGAGAGCTGCTGAAGGAAAAATAAGTTAACCTAATTTTTATTATTTTCAACAACTAAAACAACCAGTAGGATTCACATGCCTCCCTGAATGACTCCTCTTAGACCCTTTCTAAGGCCTGTACATAATCAACTACCGTTTTCTTAAATTCTTTTATATACCAGATTTTTTTTTCACATCTCAGATTTTTCCTTTCTTCCTTTCACCTAAAGAATTCCCTGTTTTAGGCAGTTTTGTTCTGTATCAGCTTGATTCTTTTTTTTGCATAAATGCAGATGTTAACAAATATTTCTCCCTGTTCAGGAACTGCTTGAATCCCTGGATGCAGTGTTGGAAAACAGATGATTAAATATGGCGTGTATTATATTGATTACCACGCCAGGCTTTAGAAGCAAACTTCAGCATTCTGGTTTACAGTGCACATGCTGTTTTGTGAATGGATGTCTATCTATATGTATCTATGCTTGCCTTTAGCATCTCTAAAAGATTCAGGACCAGACTTTGCATTCATCAGGTAGCTGGAGCTCCAGACAAATTTGAGCTTCTGGTAGGCAGAGAATGTATAAACCAGGAGTGCTGATAGTCAGGCAGTGAGAAGGACTGACAGTTGCATAGAGGCAAAGTAAAGTCCAGAAATAAGGCTCAACTTAATGCAAAACTGGGAGATCTTCCATCTTTCTCGATGCCATGCATGGAGAGGCTCAAGCTGAAAATCCCTCGCTGTGCTGGAGAGGAAGCTGGTGGCTAGGCAGCCTCTAACAGGGCCTCTCCAACCTGGGCATTTGTTCCCTCCCTCAGTCTGAAATGCTCTGAATTTGTTGGTCATCAGAACACAACAGAAACCTTCTATGCAAGTAAATCTAACAGAAAGAATTTGCTGGGGAGGCAATTTTTTTTTTATTTATTCCAAGATGAGACATGAATTTGGAAAGCACTCAATAAAATGTTCCGATGTCACTCCTTAAAATGCTGGTACTCTGGATTGCAGATGCGAGCAAGCTCTACAAGGCAGAGTGACTAATGAAATGTGGCTCCAAGGGAGAAGACCCATATGTGATCAATGAGAGTACTTTTAAGCCAAGCACCTAAGAAAGCAATAAAATAATTCAGATAGAAGTTCAAAACAGACCACTCACCTAACTCCCTGGACAGCTCTGATAATGTCCCAAAGGTCACAGGACAAGATTTTACTTCTGCAATATCCCATGTTCCTGCATTTAAAAAGCAAACAAACAGTAACCCAAAATGTGATGTCACATTCACAGCTGGTGACTGCAGTTTCTACCTGACACTCCTAATCTCATTACAGCCCTTCCGTGTTCTCTCTATCCCAAGCCTGCTGCTGCTAGAGGAGAATCAAGCAAGGAGAAATTATCATCTCCTATGGACAGAGTCCAGCCCAATTGCCATGTACCCCGTCTTAGCCCTTCTAAGTGCATGTCACACCAGTATGGCTCTTCTCTGGACTTAATTAAATTCCTCACTCTTCTGAACTGTTGTCCCCTTCATGGCAGAAGTTGTCATCATGTATCAGCTTGGAATTTGGCCTTTTGAAAGCATTAAAGTAAAAAATGGTACTAACATCCTCCCGGGGCTTGGTGAGCGTTTTAAAAAAAAAAAAAAAGAAAAGACTCTAGCAGAGAAAACAACTCATGTAAGGGCAACCTAAGACCATATTCTGAATCACCAGAGTACTGCATTACTGCTACTGAAGGTGAGTCATCATATGGCCTTATATACCAATCAATCCAGCCATCTAGCTTCATTAATCAGTGAGACTGTAATGAAAATCAAATGCTTTTGAAAATTAACCAAGAAGCAGTATTAACCACTTTAACTTTTAACTCGTAACTCTCCCACCCCACTAAGAAGGGCAAGAAGAGAGACATAAAGAAAGATGCAAAGGTCCAATTACCACATAGTTATTAATTATTTTATTGCTCTAGAATCTACAGTATCACCCACAGAAGAAATACAATGTGAGACATAACTTAGCCATAAAAATTAAACCATGATGTAAACAAAAAGTCATCAAATACCAGTGAGAGAGCTGATATCAGCATCTCCTAATCGTTAGCCTAATGACCTGCCAATCCATCCCTTCACTGTTTTAAAGGTGTCTGAGGCTTTAGAGACAAAGTTTCCCACCTCCAGCTTATGCTACACAGATAATGTTCCAACAACACAACTGATACCCAAAGTTGCTCTCAATTACTTTTTTTGGATGCCAACAAGGGGTGAATCAGCTGGGAAGCTGGGCAAACTGAAGGTACAGCATAGCACTGACACAAACAGACTACTTCCCACTGTTAAATACCCAAACTGACTTAGGAATACCCTGCCTTATACTGCTTTGAAACTCACGGATACACCCTGAAGTCTAACTGATGGTTAGGTGTAAGCATCCTTGGAAGGACGGAGTTTGGTTGCAAAGGAACCAAACACTAAATAGCTGTGGGTAGAGAACAACTTGCACCCAGAAGGTAGCCTGCAACACAGCAGAAATTCCTGCCATAAAGACCCCTCTTTTCACATTTCTGGAAAATAAATGACAGCTGTCAGGGTTCAAAGGGGGTGAACAACACTGTGTGTGTGCAGGATGAATGCTGGTGGGGCTGTACTCTGGGGATGCAGTAATTCATTGAGCTTTTCCTCTGAAACCCTTGAACGTCAACACTCACCTACGTTGGAGAAAACATCTTCTTCTGACTGGGAGGGTGCTGATTCTTCCCGTATGGCTCCTGAGGCCTTCAGTGCAGTCCCACATTCTGCCCTGGCAATGACAGCACCTTTTCCACTGCCACCGGTGTCCTCTGTGAGTGACCACAGCACTCCCTTCTCATCCCAGTCAAAGGCTGGCTCAACCACTGAGCTACCCAGGGATGCTCTGATGGAATCTTCTCAGGAATAAACATTATCACAGGGTCATCATTATTTTTAATTACAGTGAGGAGTTTGTACAGGGGAAACAACAAAGCAAATCCCGATCTAAACCTATCAGATGTAATGGCTATATTCCAACTGAAATTATTTACAGATACAATGACAGTAAAGCAGAGCCCCTGGGATGGGACACTGAAGCAGCAAACATGTGAGAAGGAAGGCATCACACAGTCCAGCAACAAGTCCCACAGGGGATGACACCAGACCACAGAGGCCTTGGGCATCCCTCCCTGACTGCAAGGGTGGCTCAAGGCCTCCAGTCCAGCTGGGGACCCTGAGCAGTAAAGGGAGAGAAAGAGGACAGCAGGACCTCCAAGGAAAAAGAAAGCAAACCTCTTGGATGTTGGCAGTTCAAGGCTGCTAGATAAATCAGTGCCAGGCATACGGATATTATAAATAACAACAATAATTTCCAGCATCTTTTGTTTCAAAGGACTCTCAAAGCGCTTTAGGACTCCATTTTCCTGTAACTCTGGTGGGGAAGGGACCACTGCTGGCATGAACTCCACCTTCACACACCTTAATGCTGATGCTGATGCTTCTTCCCTGCTAGGAAACAGCAATCAGCACTCAGCTGGGTTAGGACTTCTTTCTGGAAGAGCACATTTCACTGCTTTGTAAATGTCCACACTAAGCAGGACCACCATGATCACCTGGTTGAGTCTCCTGCACAACCCAGGATTCCACCAAAGACTTCTGGTGCTTCAACTGTGACTTAGTCTGCTGAGCTCCCTTGCCCTGGGACAGCAAAGCACTTAATGCCTGCATGGGCTCAGTGTTAAACCATGCATGGTTAACCTTCTGCACAACAGCTGGCACTACCTGCCAACAGGACAACTTATATCAATAAAGCCAAATGTGGACGAACCTACTCTGCTGGAGGTCAAGTACAGACCTCAGCTTCTTGAGCCCTTAGAGCCTGTCATGTGGATATTTAACTCCTGAGAATCCAAACTCTTGATATTTAACTCAATATAATCGAAATGATAAAGTGGTGCCAAAATCCCTGTATATTTTTAGATTAAAATTTGCTGTTCACTTACCCTGATCTTCATTTTCAGTAGAGCATCTCAGAGCACTTTAAGACAGTCTTATTGCAGACAGTGTACAAACACCCACATTTATCCAGCTCTGTCTCCCAATTCCAAACTTCTACCCTAGCTTCTAAATTACACTAACATATTAAACTTTCAGGTTTCTCTATTATATTAATCATTTTATCACAGCTAATTAAGGCATTTCCAAATGCCTTCATTCCATGACCTGCTTTCATATAGATGTTATGACATAATGAGTAGAAATGTATACAGTCACAAGTGAATGGCAGACACTTTGAAATCCCCAGAGGAAAAATGTGGATTGAGCACAAAACATTGTTTCATTTTATCTCATTAGGATAAGAGTTATCCCCCCTTTATAGCTGTTTACTCTAGGAAGGCCTGGATTAAAGAACCTGTTTGGAACTGAGCAAATCACACAAGTTTTTATACAGCCATTGTCAAAAAACTTTGTCTATCAAGTCACACAAAAATGACTATTCCATATTACCTCAAAACTTTAGCAGATCTCAGATCTAACAGACATTTGCTTTCCAAGTCCTATGGGTTCTAATGAAATAATATTCTGTTTTAATGAAAGCCTGGAGTAAAAGGCAAGCTCCCAAGTAAGAGCTCCCAAAGCTGTCTTTTCTTGAGGAAACAGCCTAAATGAGTGTAAAGATTTTGCTGCCAAATGATGAACAGAGCAAACAGAAAGATTTGAAAGAGGTGAGAAGGGGTGAAAGTCCAGCCATTTCAGGTGTGTAAACTGAGCCTGTACATTTACCTTTTTGTTTCAGCCTTTCCTTCCTTAAATGTCTCTTTTCTCGGCTGCTGATCTTGGTCTGCCAAACTCCTACAACACAGAGTAAAGTTCATCTGAAGTTAACAAAAAACTTCCTTTACTGCCTTTACTGCTTAGCACCAAGGTCAATAGCTAGCTGACAGTTTCTGATGCTGGCTGTAAAAGTAAGATCAGGGCAGCGAGTGCTGCCCTGGTCTTGTGTATCATCTCCCCTGCGTGCAGCCTTTGCTGTCTCTGCAGAAACATGTTACATAAGAAATCACCATCACAAACCTGTCTGTCATGTGTCCTGACTCATGTAACTGCACATATTCTTCTGTCCTTTTGTCAGCCTGATGTGACACCCCTTTCCCTCGGGGGAGATGTCACAACAGAGCATCAGTCGCCTTGTATATCTGACAGCAGAGAGAAGTTCATGAAAATCTTAACTATCAAGCAAGGCTTCAATTTACGGGCTTTCTCTAGCCCTGAACATACCCTAAGACTCGTTCTGCAATATGGAGACCCTCTGCCATGCAGCCCATTTCCACACACATCCATCCACACTGGTGGTGCCACATTCTGCCACATGCTCTCCATGACCCAAGAAGCCAGGGGAGGGACAGGCACAAATGGTTAATAAAGGGAAAAACACAGTCCCTGGATTTCACCAAGACAAATACCTTTCTCCGAAGTGTGTCCAAGTAACAGTAACACATGAAACATTTCATCTGGCTCATCTGTTCAAGAAGCCTAAACATCTGTTTGAAGAAAGCCTCTGCTGTTTGCCCTTCTCCTCCGGCAGCCTTGCAGGCACTCTGCCCCTGACACAAGGGCCCACTGGGAGGACTCCAGTCCAACGGCAGCAAGGGCTTCTCTCGCTCTCACCACCACGCTAATCACATTATAATCTTTTAAGCCCAGAAAAGCTTAGAATTTGTTGTTTTCAATATGACCCTTGGTGGGGGGAGGCAGAGGGGGGGCTCATGGGATGCAGTGTGTTTTCCAATTAAATTCTAGCTGTCTGAGCCTTGCTAGCCTCTGCTAGATTTCTCTGCAGATTTGCTTGCAACCAAAGATCTTGGCTTTGTTCACAGGCGTACTAGAAATTGGCTGTATATTACCCCAGCACCTTTAGCAGCCTCAGTCACGGGCACAACAAAACACTGCCTGAGAAGACCGTAGCTTCAGCTGTGTATCGGCCTGGCAGAGGCCACAGGATTAGAGTAACAGCATTGAAGACAGGACCCCGCTACCCAGTGGACCTCTGGCCACTTCAGAGATGCTTCCTCATCTGCAGATCTGCCATCCACGTGAATGCAGTAAGTACCTGAGAAATGTGGCAGGAAAGCACAAGGTCCCTGTCTGTGTAGTTACATGTAGTAATAGCTCTCAAACTGGCAATTTTTCCCCATGACATAGAATGCTAGAATAGTAGAGAAGACCTCCCTTTCAGCATATTTCTTCCCATGTTATTATTCAGTAATATAAATCAGATAACAGAACAACCCGATCTTTTGTTACCTTCCTCCTCTTGCAGTTTGTCTTTTTCCACAGAAAGCAGATCTTTTGGGACCTCCTTGTCTGAGCACTGGGCTTTCCTCTTCTTCTTAGGCTACAGAATACAGGAGATACATGGCAGAAAGATAAAACAGGTATTTGTTACATTTCATCATGAAGGAAAAAAGAGTCAGAGCAATAGTTCTGAAATGGAGACCACATGGTGGTACTTAAGAGAGCAGTAGGTCAATGGAGTCTGTAAGTGGGTGCAGAAGTCTTCCTGAGCAGATTTTATTGCAAACTCCAAACCAATGAATGTTACAGATTTTGGTCTACAAAATTTGTCTTACCTTTCTAGCCTGCTAGGCTAGAAAGCTCACATTTTAATTCAGGCACCTACTCTATAGTAAGATTTGCATTCATCATTCCTAATTGTCTTCCTATAAAGGAGTAAAACCTAAAATTATTTACCCCCTTTATAATCAGCCACACTGAAAACAAGAGTTAGGACCCTGCCTATGCTTAACCGAACACCCAACCCTGGAACAGCCTATTGTGAATGAAGGTTTCTGTAGTTTACACTAATCTGAAAGGTATAGCAGTGGCTGAGGCCATTTTCATATGGCTTAATGAAACAGTACAGCTAATCTTAAGACTTCAGTTTTGAATGTTCTAGTTTTAACACAGTGGTTCTTGATTTTTCCAAGGCAGGATACCCCTGCTAGGAACATGCTTCTTTGCCCAAGCTGGGGGCCTGCTCCTCACTTGAAAGTGGCTGGAAAACACAGACACTTTCCTCGACACTAGTAAAAGTGCTCAATGCTCAAGAGAAAACCCTTGCCCAGATCCAAGGAAATGTCCCTGGAACTGAAAAACAGGAGATCCCAGCTCCCACTTCTGGGCTTGGACCATGAGACCGTCCCACTTATGGTGGCAGTGACAAGGACCACAGTGTGACTGTGCCAGAGAGTCACTCAGTCTTATGTTCCTAAGTCATCTCTTAAGTGCTCCAACAACAGAAACAACGAATTATCTTTAAAAAGGATAGGAAATAAGAAGCATTCTTAAAACGTGTCTCTTGAAAGATAATATTTAACTCTCAAATTCTTACTGGTACCTTGAGGACCTTTTTCTCTCTGGTGTTGGCTGATGTTATAAGCTGGCCATTCACTGGAACCTAGAAGATGGACAATAAAAAACGCATTATGGAATTTATATGTGCATGTGCGTGTATGTGTAAATATATATATGCATATGATTAAGTTAATACATTCCTATAATACATATGATAGGCTGAAACACACAGCTGAATAACCTTCAGTACAAATCTGGGCTAGAATTTATGGCCTTGTTCCAATCTGAATCAATTTATTCCAAATTAATTAGTGTTAGTTAAACCTTTATGAATGTAAATCCAGAAACCCCACATAGATTTATTCCAAAGCAGACATATTTGTGGTTTATCCTAAGATCTGTCTAGAATCAAAGTTGTTTTTCAAACAGGGTAAGCCTGTCTTAAAAAAGCAGCATAGACAGGAGAAGGCTTATTGTAATTCTTGTTTACTGGTTGGGGTGGATCTTATGTTCCCCCTCAAGTGTATCTGACCAACTAAAAGCATAGCTTTCGTCCTACCTAGATCCTGTAAAGTAAATCATGAAAGTTCAAGAACTTTTCAAATTGCAGTTTGATTAATGTCTCGTCTGTCTCAAAATTCACTGGCAATGGCCAACCTCCAGCTACAGGGGTGGGAGGATGTAAATCTGCAGCTGAGACAGCTGCAGTCCTTCAGCCTGTAAATGCTTAGCTCTTTGGTATTTGGGAGATATTAGAACTATTATTCACAAATCTCAGAAAGGTCCGATTTGAAGTCCCTGTTCAAGACAGTCGGACAGGCACCTGAATGCTGGCAAATCTCCATCCCTGAAGGTGTTGGCTTGGAAACCTGGACCAGTTACAAGCTTGTGGTGGACAAGGGTGTAGCATGGACCTAGCAGGCTGGTGTTCAACTGACACACTGCAGTCATTAGGAGGGGAAGCCCCAAAATTTTGGACTGTGCAACATACTACTCTGAACACACAGACAACACCGATTCTGGGTCTTCCAGTGAAATACCACAGTAACAGGAGCCAAAATCCCTGCCTGATTACATCAGTAATTCCACCAGCTTCAAATTAGAAGCTTAAACCAAGTGGTCCGCATCTCTTTCATCTCCCTTAGCTGTCAATTGTAAACAATATAATTGTTTACAATTATATTCTTTGCGTATTTACTAGCAAAATAATTTCTTCTGTATTAAAACCCAGCACTATTTTTTAACAGTTAGCGAGGCCATCTTTAGTTTTTTCCTCCGAGCAGTCATCTCTCTTCTGAGACCCTCAGATTCATTTACTAGACGCACTCCATAAACCCCACCACAAAACAGACCATTTTCCATATCCTGCTCTGCTCAAGGAAAAAATTCCCACTCTGCCTGCAGCAGGGAGGGAAGCAACTTCTCACATAGGATGGCAGACATAAAATACAAAACCAGCAGAATTTTGGTGAAAATTTGAGCCACTCAGATGTGGAAGATCTTGAGCCTACAATATTCTGTCTTTCTCAGCATATGCTTCTGTCCAATTAAATGTGTGAAAATATAAATAGATCACGTCATAGCCAACAACAATTCTTATGCAATATAAAATGTTCTTGGGGGGTGACTTTTCACTATATGACACAGGACTTCAGAAAAACTGAATCTTATGGGATAAATACAAGAAGGGATGATTGGGTGAATCCACACAACATGTAAGCCCAATATTCCTTTCCAATCTCAACAAACCCTAGTGATTTCCCAGTTCTCATAAGGAAATTTTCACCATTTCCTAGAGGATTTGCAAATGGACCTCCCAAACTAAGGCACTTTCATTCAGACTGCTACTATTGGCAAAAGAAACAGCACTGCCAACTTGTGAGGCAAGGAGGAGGATGCTTTTTTGCCTTCTTTCAGACACATGAAGAGGATGAGACATCCCACGTCCTGTTAGCCTCTCTTTACATCAAGACACTTCTGCAAGCATGAGGGACTACACACAGAGACGAGGAGGTGTCAAGATTAAGGACATGCAACTGTCTTCCTCCCCCAGGCTGCCGTAAGTAAGCACAGCCCGAGGCTGTACGGAGCCCTCACAGAGGCAGGGAGAACTCCAGAGGGAAAATGCTGAGTGCAATAGAGAATTAGGGAAGACACAAATTATATTGGCTCTGACAGACTTGTCTCAGCTGGGGCCTTCTCGCCATATAAATGACAGCAAGCAAGAAGCTGGAAAAATTGCAGCACTTTGTTTTAATGCTTTGCCAATCTGACTGCTGTATACTTTTACCAGACAAGCACAACATTTCCTACTTAAATGATATTTCATCTGCTAGGCAGACATCCCTCTCTCTCTCCATCACTGACTAAGAGGTTAAAAATATACTGTTGACAGGCATTTACTGTATCCCAGGGGTCTTCATGTTGACTGAACAGCTATTCAGCCCTAAATACCCGCCTGGGACTCCTGAACCTTGTTGCATCCTTCCTAATGAGCAGCTGAGTGAAGGAAAAACACCAAACCAGACCTCTGACTGATGATCACAAAATACCCCACTACTCCGGTGATGCTCTTCTTTCAACCTGGAGTATCTGTTGCTTCCCCCACCATCCTTCAGTAATAGCAACAACTCCCTTCCTTTCACCTCCAAGTATTTTTACAGAGTTCAACTTCCTTTCAGGGGAAAGGTATTATTCTAGCCTGACCTTTTGCATTAAATCCTGCCTCTATCCAACCCCTTTTCAGGCAGTAAACCAGCTGTAAGGCTGAGGAACCCCACCCTACCCCATTCTTCCCTTTTGAAGCCCTTAGGATACAGGATTAGTCATGCCACTTTACCATGCCGTTTTGCCATTCTGAAAAGGAAAAAGGAATTTTCATTATTTTATTGCACTTAGCCTGATGGACTCATTAAAGAGAAATGAATTTTGTCAGGGTAATTTTTTTCTTAATGAAAAATGTAGTTTTGTACAGGGAGAACACATCTAAAGCCACCACATTAAGTGACTGTATAGAGTCATCACTGAAATTCCAAATACATTAAATATATGCAGAGAAACAGAATCAGGACTTTTAGTGGAATCAGACTTAGCATATTAATTTCTACTCACATTCTGTGGAACAATAGAAAGATTATTTTTAGTTCATGGCCATTTGGTTCGTGACCCAGTGGAACAGGATTTCCCCCCCACCCCCTGCCTTTTTTTTTCCTTTTTATGTAACCTAAGGTTATATTTCTGATTGCTCTGAAACCTTTATTCTCTTGAGCTAGCACTTAATTTATTTTACATTGTTTATATAGTTCTACATAAAGTCACAAAGAAAGATGGCAAAGTGATAGCACCTCAAATGTAAAAAATACTGGGTTTAATCATTAATATAAAAATCATGTATTTGAAACCATAAAACTGTACCCCTAGACACTTACCTTTATGCACTTCAATAGTTTCGTAAGACTAGAGACTTTCACAAAACCGAACACCTTTGTTAAGTGTCTATAAGCTCAGAAAACCTGCTTTCAAATCTCAGTACCACCAAGTGGTTACAGGATTCATTAAAAATTGTGTGAACATTAGCTTCAGGTTCACTAACTGCCCTTTGTCCCATTTGGGGAAGGTGCTTGCAATTTCCTTCCTTAAGACCGCATGTAAAGCTTTCCCCAGCAGAGGGATACTAGGACAAAATAAACTCAGCGTATGAAATTCAAGGGGAGCTATTATATGCTTCACACATTGGAAATCAGGGAATTCGTTTAAGAACATGAATAAAGATTCAGAAAATTGTTTTCAGCTACCACTTTCAGAAAACTCAAATTAAGTGGGTTGGACACTGGAAATGAAAGGAAGCAAAACTACCCCATCCTGGCAGGGGGTCTCTGAACACAAAACCATTTCCAGATTTAAGAAATACTTCAATTAAATTGTTTCCTAGTGCTCATTTCCAGTACAAAAACTACACTTTTTTTTTTTTTTCATCGTATGTTACACCAGAAGATAAATGTGGTGGACTTAAGCCAAAAGACTACACTGGTACAGCAAAAGCAACATGAAAAAAAAAAAAAAAAAAAAAGGGGGTGGGGGTGGTGTTTGGTGGATGAAAAGAACAAAAATAAATTTACTTTCTAACCAGGGCACTAAATAACCTCCCTGAAGCATGCTGTGTTACTACTGAACAAGATATCACTGCACTCTTCAGCTTTCTCGGTAGACCTTCAACAAGCTGAAAACTGACCAGGATGTTTTCATCTCTCTCAGCATCCTCTGGAAGATCTGGTCTTTGCTCCCTACACCACACACACTGAGTCTTGCAATACCCCTTGCAGTCCCCTGTTTGCTCACTGAAGATGGGTCCTTTCTTGTGCACAGAAGCACAGGCTCAGCCACAGGGTAAGCAAACCAAAGTGCTGCTGCCAGCCAACCACTTGTATTGCTCCATCAGCAGACAATGAGCAATCTGCATGACAAATGCATTGGGAAATAAAGCAGCACACTGAGTTTCATTAATTCTGAATCAGATTTTCATAAATGGAAGCAGACATCCTGGCCAGTCTGGCTTTGCCACATGGTCCTGTGCCGATGATGGACTTCAGCCTGAGAGACTTATTTCCCAAACCAATGGGAACCAGGTGAGTGAGAAAGGACAAGCCTGCTTTTGTTAGAGTAGAGAGGATGGAGTTTAGGCAGAGCAGGAGTCCACCAGAGACAGGAAGGCACCAGCTTCAAAGAAAATTACTCATTCATTCCTAATAGCTAGAGAAGGGATAACACAATGGCAGTTTTCCCTAAGGTGACAATGGGAACCCACAAAAACATATTGGGTTTGTTAGCAAAGGAAACAGGCTCTTCATGCATGGCAGAGGAACATAAATGCACTTCTTTGGGCCATGCCTACTCACAACACTACACACACGTACCTGCAAAGGGAAAAAAGAGCAGGATCTTGGTTTGTGATTGATACTGTAGATATTAATCATCTTATTAATAGCTATTATTGATATGTGTTAATACAAAGTTTTCCCTGACAAAATCACTTCAGATAAATGTGTTCCCAGTAGGAAAGAGTTAGTTGGAAGGGAAAATTACATGGAAAACACATGCAATGAATAGACAGAATGATATGGCACATGCGCACTGGGAATATGTGAAATTTTTCCCTTCGTTTAAAATGCCTGGCAGAGGAAAGAAAGAGGTGGTGCTCCCATCAAGTGGATGCTCTGACAACCTCGGGAAAAGGATCTGAGCCATCAGCACAGAAAACCTGCTCTTCTGCACATATTCCCAGGGATGAAGTTGCCCCTTGAGCACTAACAGGTAACAAATACAGGCTGATGACAAGTAGCAGGAGCTGGAACTGCAGTTGTGGCTATTCATATCCAAAGGCAATTCCGAGAGGAAAAATTAGAGAAGTAGCCCTAAGATGCTCCTGCCTACATTACATATCCTCCTGCTGGCCAGCCTTCCCAGGATACACAAGAGGCCATAGACCGCAGCCATAAATATGGGGAGCTGACAGGCACCTGCCTCGGCTCAGCTGCTCTTGTCATCTGATGAGATGTCTGGGGAAAGACAGAAGAGCTTCCCTAGCGTGAGCAGATTAAAACCACTGTTGCAAGGAGGGATGAAGAAATTAGTTTCCTGGAATTTGCTCTTCGAATTAATTAGAACAGCATTACAACAAGGGATCAAGGTTCCATTTTGAGGCAATTACCAAACTCCAACACCTTCCAGCATAGTTTTCAATTCTCATCCAAGACAACTGTATGAAAATAATTGTGCAACTGTGTTGCATTGGCATGAAGAGCATTCTATAACCTGAAAAGGTCTATCTGCATACCTCTAGAGCTGAGAGGATTGATCTTTAGTTCTGGTGATGTTAAGCCACCCCTGCAAGAGGCAAAAAGTATCTCCAGTTTATAAAGATACTTGTGAAAAGCAGAAAGCTTTCTTTTGGGATGTGTAAGACAATACATATTCTTGTAAGTTGCCTAAGGAAGATGGTATCACTGCATTTGTACAAAATGCTCTTATTTTGAACTGTCCAATTAGCAGAACATCCCAAAAACTCTGAATAAACACAAACCCCAAAACTTAACAGCAACCTTGTTCAGATCGGTTGGCTTTCAGCAAGTCTTGTTAGCAATTTCCTAGAAGACTCTTTATTAGGTAAAAGATTATCTTGAAAATGACTAAACAACCTCTAGCATAATTTCTGGAGATTTCTTTGTGTGTGACAACAGCCAGAATGTAACTTGTTATGTGTGATGCATAATAAGATTCACATTCAAAATATGCTCGTATGATTGTGTTGAGGCCATGAATCCATTTGAACAAAGTTTGTTCAACACACTTAATTTCACATGGGCTGTGAAAGAAATTCAGACTGGGTCTTACAGTGCACAGCCTGCTCTGAGACTAGAAATCACTCCATACTGTTACTCTGCTGTATGCAAAGCTAACAAGTAGTCAGATGAAAGGCTTGAAAGCTGCCTGCCAGCACCACTGGCATCAGGAGAGACTAACATAGTCATGCACTGTTGCATTTTAGTGACTTGAACCTAGGAAGCATTTGGATGGAGGTGGCTGGGAGGGCTGGGCTGTGGCTGGGAGCTGCAGGGTGGGAAGGAGCCCCGCACAGAGCCGAGGGCATGCTGCACCCTCCAGCGAAGGCACCCTGGGCAGGCACTGGCTGCCTACTGCTGCAGGGGATAGGGACACGCAGAGGAAAGGAGCTCAGCCCTACACCAGAGGAACAAGCAGCCCTTGTAAGAGCAGATTCCGAGGAAGGCAGGCTCACAGCCCACCCATGGGGCAGCGGCTGGGAATCACTGGCAAACGCGCATTCCCAAACTGAAAAAATAATTAACCACCTAGTTTCTTTTAATTAAGATCTTGACTTATCCACAACTCCAGGATATGCAGATGTTTGGCTGCTGGGATGTATCAACACACCTGAGCACTGGAGGCAATTCATCTCTTGGCTTCATACCTCAGCAGGCAGCAGAGAGGGGCTCTCATCCTGTAATACCTGCGCACCCCAGCTTATGGCATTGGCCATGTCTATGGATGGAAGACCTTGTTATTAATAATATCTCTGATGCTGCCTTGCTAGAGATTTCATATGCAAATTCTGGCATATTAAAGGTGTTCTGCTGTTCTGGCATCCTTGCATCAGCTAAGTGCCAAGGCAGCATGCAGCATTTTACACTTACGTAAGGAGATAAAGTTTTTGCCTCAAGGATATGATGTTCCAAAGACAGAGATAACATGATGGGAAATGACAAGGAGCAGTGGAGAAGGGGGGTAGGGAAAGGAAAACAAAAGAAAGATCGAAGAGAAAGGGCAGGGTATCATCATGGGAGGACAAGACTGATTTTTTCATTTCAGCATGTAAGATGGTTTTCCCAGGTTATCGTTCTTTAGGATCTTTTAAGTTATTTTTCCTGACCATCCTCTTCTCATTCTCCACCTCCTTAGGACCATATTTTGCCTCCTCTGCACTTACAGAATAATCAGTGGCTTTTATATAGAGAATGATGCTACTCTGTGTAAATGCAACTGCTAAACTCTGGCCCCTGAAGAGTAGGAACCACTCAGTGCAGCAAAAGATGAGATTAATGATAGAAACTGCAGATTCCTATCTAACAAATTTATCCCTTCAGTTTCTCTCTTCCTCCTCTGCTTTGCTTTCTGTTATTCAGGCCCTTGATGTACAGCATCTCTGACCAGAAAATATCTATTTGAATCAACGTCTTCAGCTGGAACTAATAACCCCGACACCGTTACAGCACCAGGCCTGTCTCCGACAACAACGTGGCTGTCCACCCCTTTCTGTTCCTCACTGCCTCCAGTAATTGGTGGCTCTGCAAAATTTTAATTCGCTCTGCAGCCAAGTTATCTACTATTGAGAATTATAAAGCTATAATAAAGTTGTTACTGAAATCCCTCTTCACCCCTTGACATGGGCAGTTATGTTCGGATTGCTTTTTAATTGTTTGCTAATTCAGGGATACCTATGCTGTCGGGCCAAGATTCTGTTCTCACTGATGAAAGATAAAATACCCTAAAATGGAACAGCCTATTAAAATATAATACAACTAGAAGTTAAAACTCTCATGACTAAATAATAAAGCCCTGAAAACTAGTGTCATGATGGAAGGCTTGACACATTTGTGTTCATGAAGAACAAAACCACTTAGAGCCCATCTAAAAAAACCCCTGTGAATTAATTTTGTCTTTCTCAGAAGTGAGACCTAGGAGATAATAGTTACAGATGAAAATGTTCAGAAATGCTTGATGTATAAAGTACATACTTACTTATGTTCAGTAGGTTCTCCCGAGAGCTTTACTTTCCACACTGCAATACCTTGGTGAAATTGTTTTCTGTAATTTATGCTGAGTTTTTCTGCTACAGACAGCTTACAGCAAGTCAAAGAGACACAATAATGACAAGGCCACACGGAAACTTCATCCCAGTGCATCATATCAAACTCACAACATATATCCAACAAGGTGGCCACAGTTGTCAGCTCACAGCTACTATCACGTCTTAATGCAAAAATAACAAAGCTTTGATTCAGAGTAAATATACATCATTAGCAATTGTATTAATAACATAGCAGAGATACTATACTCATGTCTTCTTAATATGATGGACGTTAACTGGAGTTTTCTTAATTCCTGGCAAACAGGATCAAGCCCATATGGAGTTATGGTGTTAGACAAAGTGATAGAAGAAAGGCCAATACCAGCGGTCCCTGGCCAGCTAGGCTGCTCTAGCAACCTGCTGCCTTGCATCATAACCTTGATGCCACCACAGGGCTCAGACAGGAATGCTGAACCCCCTAAACTGCCCAAAGAGGTTTGGGACGCGGCTGGACAGGCTGCCCAGGTGTGAGGGATGGGATGGGATGGGATGGGATGGGATGGGATGGGATGGGATGGGATGGGATGGGATGGGATGGGATGGGATGGGATGGGATGGGATGGGATGGGATGGGATGGGATGGGATGGGATGGGATGGGATGGGATGGGATGGGATGGGATGGGATGGGATGGGATGGGATGGGATGGGATGGGATGGGATGGGATGGGATGGGATGGGATGGGATGGGATGGGATGGGATGGGATGGGATGGGATGGGATGGGATGGGATGGGATGGGATGGGATGGGATGGGATGGGATGGGATGGGATGGGATGGGATGGGATGGGATGGGATGGGATGGGATGGGATGGGATGGGATGGGATGGGATGGGATGGGATGGGATGGGATGGGATGGGATGGGATGGGATGGGATGGGATGGGATGGGATGGGATGGGATGGGATGGGATGGGATGGGATGGGATGGGATGGGATGGGATGGGATGGGATGGGATGGGATGGGATGGGATGGGATGGGATGGGATGGGATGGGATGGGATGGGATGGGATGGGATGGGATGGGATGGGATGGGATGGGATGGGAT